TTTCCTGCTTTAAGGCGGAGCTTCTGCCTTAAGGTGGAGCTTCTGCTCTAAGGTGGATTTCCTGCTTTAAGGTGGAGCTTCTCCTTTAAGGAGGAGCTTCTGCCTTAAGGCGGAGCTCCTCTTTCTGTGTGCCCCGTCTCGCCTCACAGCTCCTGTTTCCAGCTCAGATGTTTGGCCCCTCCGGGCTCACATACCTGAGCAGCAGCACACGCCAAGCCAGCGGCACACGCATGAGACACGCTACCGAGCCCTGAGGTCACGGGGGGGGGGAGACACACCCTTTAACGGGAACAGGAGACACACACGCACACACAGATACACACAGACACACAAACGCACAAATACACACACGCATACACATACTGACACACAAACACACACACACCCAAACACAGACAAAGACAAAAACACACACAGATACACTCAGACACACATATGTGTACACACACAATTACACGAATACACACACATAGACACACAAACACACATTCACACAGATACACTCACGCAAACAAACACACACTCAAACACAGACACACACACACAAATACACACAAACTCACAGACGCACAAATACTCACACAAAGACACGGATACAAAAACCCACATATACATACACACACAAATACACACGCATAGACACACAAACACACGGATACACACACACTCACACACACACAAACACACTCGTAGACACACTCTCTGAGTCTAATCTGTGACTCACACTAACGACCAGTTGTGTTTATCTGGAAGCGTGTAATTTGTGTCTGAACGTTACAACATGTTAACCAGCGCGAGGCGTGTGCCCCCCCCCCTCCACACACACACACTCACACACACAGACACACACACGGCTCCGCCCCCCCGCCGGCGTTAGGCCCTGCTGTTTAGTCATCCCGCTGCCTGTCTGGATCGGTCTGGCGTGCTGCGACCAAACGCGTCTCTGCAGGCTTCTCACCGCACGCCGTCCCGGACGCCGCTGTGTGTGTGTGTGTGTGTATGCATGTATATGTGTGTGTGTTTGTGTGTATATGTGTGTGTGTCTGTGCGTGTATATACGTGTGTGTGTGTATATATCTGTGTGTGTGCCAGTGTATATGTGTGTGTGTGTATATATGTGTGAGTATACGTGTGTGTGTATATATCTGTGTGTGTGCCAGTGTATATGGTTGTGTGCGTGTACGCGTGTCTGTGTGTGTGTGTATACGTATGTCTGTGTGTGTGTATGTGTGTATACGTGTGTGTGTGTATATATCTGTGTGTGTATGTGTCTGTGTGTATATGTGTGTGTATCTGTTTTTGTGTGAATGTGTGTTTGTGTAATTGTGTATGTATGTATGTCTGTGTGGTGTCAGGTTTTTGTGTTTCTGCTGAATCTCACCAAAGAACTCCAGCCGGTTCTCTCCGGCCTCCCTTCCGGCGCCGCCATCTTCTTTAACCGGAGCTCCAGACGCCGCCGCCGGCGTTCCGGGTCTGCAGAGCGCCCCCTGGAGGCCGCGCAGCCGGTCTCCCTCCTCCAGCAGCAGGCGGGTGAGCTCCTCCTGGTACCGCGTGCCGGGCAGGTCCGAGTAGCGCGCCCGCTCCGCCGGCGCGGCGCCGCCCGGCTGCTCCTCCCACCAGTCCGGGGCGCCGCGGCAACAGGCCGCCGCCGCCGGGCTGCCCACGGCGGGCGGGTACGAGTGGCGGCTGTCGTACAGCCCCGGGCACCCCCCCGCCTCCAGGTAGTGGGTCCAGACCTCCACGGGGGTCGCCGGCGCCCGGCCCGGGGCGCCGTATCCGCCGGGCGGGAGGCCGTATCCGCCGCCGGGCTGCTGGGGGGGGGCGGAGCCTGAGTGGCGAGAGTCGTATCCCAGGCTGATGCCGCTGGTGCGGTTGCTGCTGCAGCGGCTGCCCATCGGGCTCCCGCCGCCGCCGCCGCCCCCGCCGCCGCCGCTCGCCGTGCTGGAGGCGAAGCTGGACCGCGGGCTGACCAGCAGCGACTCCTGCAGGCTGAAGGAGGAGCAGGGGCTGAGCGTGGGCGGCGCCATGGCGACGGCGGCGGCGTGCAGCCCGGCCTTGGGGGGGTGGGACAGGGACGCCGGCCGGGCGCTCTCCCACAGATCGCCGCCCGAACTCATGCGTTTGTAGAAAAGGGCCTCCTGGAGCGAGAACCGCTTGTGGCGTTCCGGCTCGGGCAGGTAGGCGGGCTCCGCCTGGCCGCCGCCGCCGCGGGGGGCGGAGCCGTAACCGGCGGCGACGGCAGCGGCGTACGGCGGCGGGACGGAGTGCGGCGGCGGCTGCGAGAGCAGCTGGCGGCGGCGGACCAGCTGCTGCAGCTCCAGGGAGTAGCGGCGTTGGCCGAGGGCGCCGCGGGAACCGGGCGGGTCGGGATCCGGGCCCGGGTCGCGCCTCGGCTGGGCCTCCGGACCGTCGCCATGGTAACAGGACGCCCGCTGCTGGGGGGGCGGGCGCCGCAGCTGCGGCAGGGCGCTCAGCGTTTGCTCGCCATCTGGAGGGACGGCGCCCACCGGGGAGGAGGTGGGCGGGGCCTGGAGGATCCCTCCCCCTCCTCCTCCTCCTCCTCCTCCTCCTCCTCCTCGCCCGGACGCACACGGATCGTTTGTGGTTGCAGAGGCAAGCGAGAACTGGCCGGGTCTGGAGGGCGGGGCGATGGCCGCCGGCGATGGCGGCGGCGGCAGGGCGCCGTTGCCGTTGGCGTTGCTGTTGTTGTTGGCGTTGCCGGCGGAGTCCTGCTTCTTCTTGGAGCTGTTGAACTTGACGCTGGCGGCGTCGCTCAGCTTCAGCTTCCCCAGCAGCTTGCTGATGGGCCTGTCCATGTCCGGGCCGGCGGGCGTTCGCAGGACAGGGGGGAGGAGGATAGAAAATAAAAAATAAAAAAGGCCAAAAAACTCCCAGGTGCCAGATGAAGGAGCTCAGATACAGTGTGAGAGGACAGCAGCAGAACAAAGACCATCAACAAAAACACACAGCCCAGACCTTAACATTCAAAAACTGGCCTCAGATCTCAAGATTCCCCCAATCTTTCGTCTGTACACAGAATAAATACACAACATATAAATAAAAAAAGGCTGTTAAGGCATTTCTTTTCCAGGTGGTTACATGACTCCAGTCCACTGAGTCATCGGCTCTGCCCTCATGTGGAAAATCCACAGGTGGGATGTGGCGACAAAGACTCCATGAAGCTCCTGAAAGGGGCCAAAAACAGAACTCTTCGAGTCACGGTCCGGCCGGGGGAAACCGGGGGAAAAAACCTACATCCAGGACCCTCTTTCCGTGGACCCTCAGGTGGCTCCACATCTGTAAATCTCCCCCCCCACCCCCTCTGGTTAAATCGCCCGAGAGTGCACTAGCCGGCGCGGGGTGGCGGTGGGGGGTGTCCCTCCGTTTGAATCTGCTTTTGGAGCAACACAAAGCGCTGGGGGGGGGGTCAGCAGGACGCAGGCTGAAGCCGCTTCATGCGGGTCCGGAGTGGGAGAGAAAACAGCCCCGCTCCTGCCATTCATCTCAGGGGGGCGAAACGTGCTCGCGCGGCCGTCGTTACCTTCCTAAAAACGGCGTCGGGAAGCGGACACACGGCTCCGGGACGAGTCCCCCGGCCGTCCGGCCGTCCGCTCGGTCTCTGCTGCTTTTCTCATTCCCGTTTTTCAAAAGGAGTACCAAAAAAAAAAACTTTAAAAAAAAAAAAAACGTACGGGACTCGGCGGAATAGTAGCGGTTGAAGTTTGGAGTCCGGAGAGGAAATGAGGAAACCCGGCGAGCCGTTACACGTACATCCCTCCGGCCCGGTGCCGGACCAAACGAGTCGCTGGAGATAAATAAAATCCCTCCCCGTGAGCGTCGTATGCTCGAGAACTTGGTTTCTTTCTTTCTTCCCCCTCAATAATTACTTTCCTCCCCCTCTTTTTAGTCGAAGTTGAGCTAGCCATAACGGTCACTGACTTCCGGTTACCTCCTTTCAACATTAGCTACCCATTCATAAGTCAACGGCTGAAAACTTTTGAAAATACAACGTTTTCAACGACGTTTAGCGTTTGTTCCCAGTGTCAAGAATAAAAATCCGCAAAGAAAGCAAATATACAGACTTTTACATATCAGAAACATCGTAACACTTGATTTCTGACCTATTTTTCGAACACGCTAACGACTTTTTATTTTATTTTTAAAGGTCTGAGCACATCCGGGTGCTACGTCCGGGGCCGCTGGTGCGTGGCCGTTGACGCACAGTGGTTCTTTATCAGCCTGGGGGCCGGGACACCTTTCCGCTAGCCAGGCCTGTGTCGTCATTCATACGCAAAAAGAGCCCCAGAAGATGTGTCCTCTGCACCAAACCTGCTTTCTGCCCCCCTCAGACCAGGGATTTGCCTCTAAAATGTGGTTAAACATTCACATCCGGACTTGTTTATTATACCCATGTGACCTTAAACTGATTCCACTGAGTTTTTCCAGAGGTTTTCATCAGCAGGTTGTTTGGTGAACAGCTGTCTTAACCAGAAAAAACCTGTTTACACCACTACAAACTACCCAGAATGAGGTTAAATTAGCCTAATTGATAATAACCAACTGCCTTGTTTCACTACTTAATCATTGGGGTAAATTTAACATTTTCTAAATATGATGCATCATATCTCACACTTTAATTAATTAGGCATTAAGTTGTCGAAATTGGTACGTCTGTTTAGAAAATAGCAAGTTATGGCTTCATTTATTCTAATATATTTGATTTTATGTCATTTTCTGTATTTGGAAACTCAATAAAAGTATTGGGGTAAAAGTAAAATGGCCCTTTTCTGTGTCTAGGGGCGTTATGAAGGATAAAAATAATAGTTGATAGCTTGGAAATTAGTATCTTAATAAAGAAAGAGTTCAACTTTACAGCCATTTATGTGAATGAGGGAAGAGCTGTGGTTTCAGAACATGCTACAGAGAACTAGCTTAAGGAATAATGTGGGGTAGAATAGATCAGAAATATGGCAATAAAGCAAATAAATATAAAGTAAATTTGTGTCCAATGTCAGTCATGTTTTACACAGCTGTAAAAGCAGCATAAAGTGGGAAATATGAGGCCTGGATATTGTATCCAGTCAACTGAACAATAGAAATAATTCAAATTTAACGTGACAAAACTCTTGTTATAAAACCATAAAAGAGGGTTTTGGTCTAAACTACTTGCGGTGCGATCTGCATACCAGTATGTCAAAAATGCTCATGCTCAATTCACATTTAAATGTGAAATAGTCTTTGTTCATAAGAGTTTAATTTGGCTACTGTCTTTAACCTTTGGAGACCCGTAGATATTGTATCAGCAGATTACATTTATGTGACAGCCTTTCATTCCATTAAAACGCCTCCAGTGGTGCGGCACCAGCAGAAAAAAAGGGCAATGAAGGTTTTTGTGTCTAAATAAAGACAAGATCATGGCTGGGTAAGAACAATGACCACTTAACTCCCAATAAAACCACTAATTTAAGCATTTTGTCTAAGTTTCTGAGTGAAATGCTTGCTAAAAACCTATTTCTCTCCTTCTTTATAGTTATTTCTAAGCAGCTTGGTGTAATGCTGGTAATATTTTCATTATATTTATAATAATGATTCAAGAACACTCAGAGCACAATCTGTTTTCTGGTAAACTTAAGTCTGTCTAAAGGATCTAATTGATGTCTATCATGGTCTACTAGATCTTATACTATAATTGGTTTACACATTTACTCTTATACAAGCTGTTTTTATATGACTGCCTTCTGATTTTCTTGCCCAGCTATTAGCTTATTTCACTAGCATCACATTTACCTGTCTTAGGTACAATTAGCTCTACTAATAATGCCATTGATCAATTAAAGCATAAAAAATCATGTCTCCTCGGTGGGCATATTCCTTTGTGCTTCCACTAGCATAGATATGAACATTTGAAAGTGGTGTTTCTCGGTTAATTGAGGGCACTTTTGGACTTTTTAGCGCTTGAGGCCACGGCACTACTTTATTGTACCACCAGCCTGAGGAATGCGCGGAGGGACACAGCGCAGAGGGACTCCGGTGAATTTTTGCGGCGTGTCTGAGTTCTCCAAGGACGATACAGAGTAAACATCCCGCCACTATTTCAGGGCTGGCCGGCCTCAGTCAAAGGTGACTCCGGCCGCTTTGTGTTTTTTTTTTTTTGTGTTTTTTTTACACGCCATAGACCAACAACGTCCCGGTCCAGGGGCTGCGCGCGCACAGGCCCCCGTGGGGCTCCCCGTGGGGACCCCCGCGAGCCCCACGGAGCCTCCACGCGCCGCCCTCCGTGGCCCTTTTTCTGCACGCTTTGGCGTTCCCCCTCCGTCCCTGCGAGTGGGAACTTGCCTGAAAAGCTAACACAGAAATTCTTAAGGGCTTAGTGGTGGAGCAGAGTAGGAAAACAATACTTTGAAGAGCTGCTCTCCGTCCATTTTTTGGCCCAGCACCACTCTCAGATGTGGATTCTGCCTCCTCACAGAGACACCAAACCTACATTTTTTGCATT